GGGGGGCGGCACGGATCCCGGGAGAGGTTCCCAGCTGGAATTCAGTTCTATCATTTGTAACAGGAAGAATCCCTCTACACGGGGTCAGCAGACATCACTCACATCACTGTAGTACTTCGCTAGGTTTAGATGTACAACGTTCCATATATTGCAGACACAAAGTAACCAATCACATGAAGCCGTCTATAAACCCATGCAGGTGAAACAAATAATCTGATTGGTTACTATGAAAAAAATACCCCAGTTCCCCTTTCTTAAAAGGAGAACTATGAGGTAAGTGTTTTTCCCCCATAGTTCTCCTAAGGGTCACAGGAGGACACAAACTAGCGTCCTCCCGTCACCCTAAGCTCAGTATATAGGGAGCTACAGCTCGGGGTATACTGAGACCGCTGCAGCCGGGACGGATCCCGACATTACTGTCTGGATCCGCCCAGCTGCGTGAGTGACAGCTGGCTCTGCCTATCTTGAGGCGGAGCCAGCTGTACCCGCCCCCTCCCCCGTCCGTTCTGCCAGTCAGCGCTGGAGAATCGGAGCGGAGAGGGGGGGATCCCTGCAGGGAGCCGTGAGTGACAGTCACCGCTCTCTGCAGGGAGATGATCGAGAAGTAAGCGAGCGACAGTATGGGCATGGCCACACTGTTGCATAATGTTTGCAGGGTGCCTGTTTCCGGCAAGATCGTCCCAGGTTGATAAGAGCCGGGTGGGGAGACTTATAGGGGCCATACACCTCTCCCCACCCTGCTCTTCGCAATCTGGGAGTCTCTTGCCAGTGTCCTGCCCAGCTCCTGCCATACCAGGTTGCCAAGAACTGGGCCGGGGACATGCGGAGCTCCTACACATCTCCCCACCCGGCTCTTAGTGGTGCCACTCTCCACCAGCAACCATTATTATTGTTATGGTTGCAGACACTGAGCGGTTGGTTATGTGGATGAGTCTAGCAGCTGCATTCATGATAGACTGAAGGGGGGAGGAGCCTGTGTTGAGATAAGCCAATGAGGAGGGAGTTGCAATAGTCCATTACCCGCCAACTGATTGCGTGCACCATCCAGAGCACCCCCCCTTCCCAATCTCAGGTGCTAGGCATGCCCCTTGTAGATCAACTCCCCTCCGCCCCGAAAAGCAATGTTGTAATTTGATATAAAAGCGGATCACAGACATGACTCTACAGTGCGCTGGGTGGGGAATTCTTGTGGGTCTGATATGGAGAAAGAAGAAGAAAAGAAAAATCCCCCCTTTTTCATTTTCATTAAAATCTCCCGCAAACGAACTTCAAAAGCTGCGGAGAGTTGGAGTCGTCCGCCGGCATAGAAACGGCAGAAACCCGATCCCATGAAAACTGAACCGTCCCCCCTCTCCGTCCTTCCCAAGAGAAAGATCGCCCTTTGTGCCCCTTCGCTGGAGGTGACAGGGCCCCGTGATGGATTTATCTGCGTCTCGCTCTGCGGAAGGCTATTGATCGGTTTCCCTTCAGAGGCCAAAAACACTTGTCTCAGGGAACCTCCATCCCCCCAAAAAATCTCCAGGATTATC